GAGTCTCCGGCAGGGACAGGGGGAGAGAGCCCAGGAACAGGGCCGCCTCCCCGCGGCCGTGCCTTGGCCGTGATCATCTTGGCCACCACGTCGCGCGCGTGCACGTCGATGGTGCAGATGGTCATGATCTTCATCCTGTCGCCCGCGTTCAGGTTCCCAATGAGCAGGGTGATGAGCACGTTCAGCTGACTTATCTGCGGGAGCAACGGCCTTCGGTGGGCCCGGTGCCCGCCGCCCTCGGGGGTCCCGGCTGTGGGGTCCCTGGGGCTCCCTCCGGGTAGGGAAGACCACCGTGCTGTTTACAATAATGAAACGCAGAAGACTGTTCCCGACAGCCCCCGGCTGGGGGTGGGGCAGCTGTGGCGCGGCCCCGGGTGGGAGGGGGTGCCACGGGGCCACCAACAGTGACGGAGTAGGAGGAAAGCTGGTGCCAGGGACAGAGCGGGTAGGGAGTGAAAACAGTGGATCTTAAAGCATCGGAAACCCAATTCCCCATAAAAATAAGCCGTTGGATGTCTATTTCCACATATACCTTTACATATATGAACCCCAAAAGATTACAATAGCAATATTATATTATATACACCTAATGTATACTAAATAGTATTAGAATAACAAACGGGAATAATAATATTGTGACAGTGGTTATATCTGGGTATCGTAGCTTTTCCTTCTCCCTTTTTTTTTTTTTTAAGAGTGGTAGTTTAGCCCTGGCCGGTTTGGCTCAGTGGATAGAGCGCCGGCCTGTGGACTCAAGGGTCCCAGGTTCGATTCCAGTCAAGGGCATGTACCTCGATTGCGGGCACATACCCAGTGGGGAGTGTGCAGGAGGCAGCTGATCAATGTTTCTCTCTCATTGATGTTTCTAACTCTCTATCCCTCTTCCTTCCTCTGTGTAAAAAAAATCAATAATATATATATATATATTAAAAAAGAGTGGTAGTTTAAAACATTTTTAAATATATATTTTTATTGATTTCAGAGAGGAAGAGAGAAACATCAGTGATGAGAGAGAAGCATTGACCGGCTGCCTCCTGCACGCCCCCTACTGGAGCCCACAACCCGGACATGGGCCCTTGACCGGGACCCTTGGGTCCGCAGGCCAACGCTCTATCCATTGAGCCAAACCGGCCAGGGCCCTTCTTCCACTTAAAGATCACCTTTGGTTTCTAAATTCTTAATCAGGAATCTTTTTAAAAAATGGCTGGCGGTAGCATTTGTCCCATTTCCAGGCAAGAATTTAAAGCCCGGTCTTGGTAAAGCGGTTACTCGGGCAGAGCGGGGGCGCTGCCAACTGCGGGCCTCTCCCCGCGGGGACGTAGGGCCCTGTGCTCCGGGCGGCCATGCGCCTGCTTCCTGCTGTGCGGATGGCCCCACTCACCTGCTTCTTGTTGTAGTCCTTGATGGCGTTCTCGTATCCTTCCTCCAGCCGCGCGAAGGCCATGCCCACCTCCGTGGTCCACCAGATCTGGGTGCACGTGAGCGCCACCTGCAGGCGGAGG